CCCCAAAACCCCAAAACCCCAAAACCCCAAAACCCCTTTCAACCATTTTTATATTGAAAATCTACTTTGGTCCTTAATGCATAGAATCCTTTCCACTAGGAGGAGTAATCTTTGGCAATACTCTTTTCTTAGGTGCTTGTATTAATGGCTTCTTGGCAGTTACTTTTGTATACTGGAAGTGAGAAATCTGACAGCCGGGAGACTCTGAAGATGAAAGAAGCTTAACTTCTGTTGGTATCCAAACTCTGTCTTTTATATTGAAGAAGGATAGATTTTGAGTATCTGTATCCGGAGACTTCCAATAAACTTTTAGTAATTCGTCTATAGATGTATGGGAAAGCTTACTTGATCCTTTTACTTCTCAAATATGTTGAGAAATAGAATTTTCTGGACCATTTTTCCCTGTTTCTACAACAGGAAGCCATTCATGGAGATCTAAATTCAAAATTGCCATATTATTTTTGCACTCTTTTGGATTTTCTAAATCTGCTGACTCGCTTCCTCCAAGGACAAACATATGATTTTGAACAATAGCTGCAGTATGACCATGCCTACCATGAGGAGCAGTTCCTTTCGCATCGATCTTTGTCCACTGATATTGTGTACAATCAAAGAATTCGACTGAGTTTAGGACTTCTCCGTTTGAGTCTACCCCTCCAAAAACATACATCCTATAATCCTTAGTGCTTCATAAGGAGAATGATGACCTTGGCATATTTGGTTTGAAATCAAGTTCGACCCCACTGCAAATCTCAGAGGAATAATGCACCTTATAGAGAGTCATCGTTTTCAGATCTGCGATAAAGACAGAGTCCTCCACCTTTTCCAAATCAACAAAATAGAGTCTATCCAAGAACACTTGGGTTGACACCCAATATTTCTTAGAAGAAGGAACAGAAATTCCTTCTTCAAGCGATAGAGGTGTCAGAGCTAGCGTAGAGTTAGATAGAGTTCCCTATAGTACATGATTAATACTACACCCCATATTCCTACCTCGATTTCCACCACAGTGATACCCTTCTCAGTTCCCACTACAAAATCGCTATAAAATTTCTCAATCTCAGCCCCCTGTTTCTTCTTCCCATCTTCACTATTCTCTCCCTTCTCAAACACGTTCACGACCAAATCCCCCATTTCTTCCTGGTCAGCACTCTATATTCAAATTACGTACAAAATTAGGCCTCTTAATGACCGAAATAGCCGAAATTTTCCAACCAAATTATTAGAGGATTTTTTGTAGGGGTAAGTACCTTTTGGTAAAGAATAGGGAGGTATTTTAGGCCACTGGAGGATTCCAGGGAGATGAGGTTGTAGGTTGGCTGGATTTGTTCCATTTTTTGTGTTATATTTTTGGGGTTTTGAGGGGTTTTGGGGTTTTGGGGTTTTGGGGTTTTGGGG